CCACACACACGCACCATTCCAGGCACCGTCATGGCCGCCCCCACACACACCACTCCAGGAACCGTCATGGTAGTCCCCGTGCATCATTCCAAGCACCCTCTTGGCCATCCCCACAAGCACCAAAGTGACATCGTGGTTATCCCCATACACCATTCCAAGCGCCATCACAGACATCCCCATACACCAAAGTGCCATCATGGTTATCCCCATACACCATTCCAAGCGCAGTTCCCATACACCATCATTGTGCATCATTCCAAGCACCGTCATGGCTGTCCCCATGCATCATTCCAAGCGCCGTCATGGCCATCCCCACACAAAGTGTTGTCATGGTTATCCCCATACACCATTCCAAGTACCATTCCAAGCACCATAATAGACATCCCCATACACCAAAGTGCCGTCATGGCGATCCCCATAAACCATTCCAAGCACCGTCATGGCCACCCCCAGTGCGCCTTTCCAAGCTTTGTCATGGCCGTCCCCAGTGCGCCTTTCCAAGCGCCGTCATCAGTGCGCCTTTCCAAGCGCTGTCATGGCCGCCCCCAGTGCTCCTTTCCAAGCGCCGTCATCAGTCCGCCTTTCCAAGCGCCGTCATGGCCGTCCCCATTGCGCCTTACCAAGCACCGCCATGGCCGTCCCCATTGCGCCTTTCCAAACGCCGTCATTGCCGTCCCCATTGCGCCTTTCCAAACGCCGTCATTGCCGTCCCCATTGCGCCTTTCCATCCGCCATCATGGCCATCCTCATACGCCATTCCATCCGCCGTCATGGCCATCCTCATACGCCATTCCATCCGCCGTCCATTCCATTCCATCCGCCGTCATGGCCATCCCCAGGTGTCATTCCCAATTAGGGTTGCCATCCCATCCCTGCACACCCCAATATCTCATTGAAGCAGATGAGGCTCTGAGTGAGATCACCGCCCTACTCAGCTCTGTGAGATGAGACAACCCCAATATCCAGGTCTGTCCTCACACGGCGGGCCCCGGGGGGGTGGGTAGGAAGGTAGGTGGATGGGTGGGTATGTGGACACACACACACCGGAGCCTCGTGCCGCCCCCTCTAGCCCTCTTCCTCTCCGCTGTACACCACAAGCCCCGGCCTTGCCGACACCCTGGAACCCTCCGCTCCTGTCAGAAATCCCCCCGGAACACCCGGCGGGGACACACACAGACGGAGCCCGAAGACCCCACCGCTTTCCGCTCACCGCACTCAGGCGAATCCCGTCCGTTCCTCCCGCCGCCATCTTGTGTAAGGGCGCAACGAGCACCTCAGCAGGACCGCCGAGCCCAGCCTCTTTCTGAGGCGGGGCTTCGAGAGTGGGGAGGGCGGAGCCATACGCTGCTCGCTGTCCGTCTACTGGCGCGTGACTGCTGAGCCCGGCTGAGCTGGCGATGTGCGGACTGCCAGAGCTGTGAGGAGGCGGAGCTCCGCGGTGTGCTGTACATGGGCGGAGCTGCGGCGTGTGCTGTACATGGGCGGAGCTGCGCTGTGCTCTGTACATGGGCGGAGCCCCTCCTCTTTCTGGAGATGTCAGTGTGCTTCGTGCTTCCCTTCTCCTCCCTGTATACAGATCACAGTGCAATCACCTCTCCCTCTATACACATCACAGTGCAATCACCTCCCTGTATGCAGATCACAGTGCAATCACCTCCTCCCTGTATGCAGATCACAGTGCAATCACCTCCTCCGTGTATACAGATCACAGTGCAATCATCTCTCCCTGTATACAGATCACATCACTCTCCCTCTATACAGATCACAGTGCAATCACCTTCTCCCTGTATACATCATCACAGTGCAATCACCTCCTCCCTGTATACAGATCACAGTGCAATCACCTCCTCCCTGTATACAGATCACCTCCTCCCTGTATGCAGATCACAGTGCAATCATCTCCTCCCTGTATACAGATCACCTCCTCCCTGTATGCAGATCACAGTGCAATCATCTCCTCCCTGTATACAGATCACAGTGCAATCACCTCCTCCCTGTATACAGATCACCTCCTCCCTGTATGCAGATCACAGTGCAATCACCTCCTCCCTGTATGCAGATCACAGTGCATCACCTCCTCCCTGTATACAGATCACAGTGCAATCACCCTCCCTGTATGCAGATCACAGTGCAATCACCTCCTCCCTGTATACAGATCACAGTGCAATCATCTCCTCCCTGTATACAGATCACAGTGCAATCACCTCCTCCCTGTATACTCACCTCCTGTATGCAGATCACAGTGCAATCACCTCCTCCCTGTATACAGATCACAGTGCAATCACCTCCTCCCTGTATACAGATCACAGTGCAATCATCTCCTCCCTGTATACAGATCACAGTGCAATCACCTCCTCCCTGTATACAGATCACGGCGCAATCACCTCTCCTCCCTGTATACAGATCACGGCGCAATCACCTCCTCCCTGTATACAGATCACCTCCTCCCTGTATACAGATCACAGTGCAATCACCTCCTCCCTGTATACAGATCACAGTGCAATCACCTCCTCCCTGTATACAGATCACAGTGCAATCATCTCCTCCCTGTATACAGATCACGGCGCAATCACCTCCTCCCTGTATACAGATCACAGCGCAATCACCTCCTCCCTGTATACAGATCACAGCGCAATCACCTCCTCCCTGTATACAGATCACAGTGCAATCACCTCCTCCCTGTATACAGATCACCTCCTCCCTGTATGCAGATCACAGTGCAATCACCTCCTCCCTGTATACAGATCACAGTGCAATCACATCTCCTCCCTGTATACAGATCACAGTGCAATCATCTCCTCCCTGTATACAGATCACAGTGCAATCATCTCCTCCCTGTATACAGATCACAGTGCAATCATCTCCTCCCTGTATGCAGATCACAGTGCAATCATCTCCTCCCTGTATGCAGATCACAGTGCAATCACCTCTCTCTCTGTGTATATCACCTCCCCTCTGTATAGAGATGGCTGCCTTCCTGTCTTTCATTCTCTATGATGGGCTCCATACTGTACAGTGTAGGGTGGGGGAGGATCGCATGTCATCACAGACATTCCTGCACCATACCTCCCCCCCCCCCCCTCCCCACTGTAGGTCCTTTAGAGACTTTGTTTCATTCAAGGAAGATCTTCAAAGGGCGACAGGTGAGAAATGTCAACAAGCGACTCTGAAAACATAACCAGTGTAGAATCTGAACCCAGAACCATGTAGAGGAAGTTCAACCCAACCACTGGATCCTCCTGAACACACCAATCCCCCCTGACAGCCCCCCTGGAGAGCCCATCAAAGGAATGGTTCCTGCAGAAAATAAACACCAATGACACTAATGAACAGACAGGACAAAGACCAGCCACAGCCAAAACCACATAAAAAGTCATACTGAAAGCACAGCCAGAGGATCATCCCATCCCAGGGACAGGCCACACAAGTCTAATAGGAGCCACAATTAGGATTGTCACCTCATCCCTGTAAACCTGAACACATATTAATGACACGGGTTCTGGGCCTGATTGACCACTTGCCCTCCTGAGGATTTAAACAAGAAAAATTGGTGTGGCGCTAAGATAAATACCACTAATACCACATTCATAAAATATACATAAACAAATAATCATGCATAAAAACATAACCCCTGACTGGGGCACGTGAATAAATACTAGTGATGGTGACACAAAAAACACCATGCAAAAGGATTCCTACAGGTGACAGAAGTGCATAGATTACAGTCCACTATACACAAAGACTGCAATCCTTGACCAAGCGTGAAAGTGCCACTGGTGCCACTGGTGTCACAATCCAGAAATGGTAAGAATGCCTCCTCACCTCCCCGCACTGACCACAAGGGCCAATACGCCTTTGCACCTTATAGGTGTAATCCTCGAGTGCCAGCCGGTAAGGGTCCACACTGGATGCTATCTCAAACGCTGTGCTCCCAAATGCCAAATCCAGCTGCTTTATAGTGGTGGTATTAGACCACCAGATGATGCTCAGAGATATAAAAAGAGAGACTTGCCATAGCGTGATACCGTAATATTTATTAATAAGATTGTAAGCAATTAAAATGTCCACTCACATGTCCACATTAAAAATCTAGCCTTAGAATGCTCCTCCTGTATCCTCGTGCTATGGGTGTACCCGGAGTCCCAATATGGCGCGTGCGTCGGAAGTGACGTCACCGCGTACCGGAAGTGTCGTCAGGGCGTACCTGACGACACTTCCGGTACGCGGTGACGTCACTTCCGACGTCGTGCGGGGAGGTGAGGAGGCATTCTTACCATTTCTGGATTGTGACACCAGTGGCACCAGTGGCACTTTCACGCTTGGTCAAGGATTGCAGTCTTTGTGTATAGTGGACTGTAATCTATGCACTTCTGTCACCTGTAGGAATCCTTTTGCATGGTGTTTTTTTTGTGTCACCATCACTAGTATTTATTCACGTGCCCCAGTCAGGGGTTATGTTTTTATGCATGATTATTTGTTTATGTATATTTTATGAATGTGGTATTAGTGGTATTTATCTTAGCGCCACACCAATTTTTCTTGTTTATATATGTACTTTTTGGTTTAAAGGAGGGTGTTGGCAGCTTAGTGTAGCTTTTTCTTCATCTAAAGCGCAGGAGGTATTAATACATTTTCCTCCTGAGGATTTACCCCCCCCCCCCCCCCTTCCTGACCAGGCCATTTTTTGTGTTACGGCACTGAGTTAATTTAATTGATAATTGCGTGGGCATGCAACACTGTACATAAATGAAATTTACGTCCTTTTTTTCCCCTGAAATAGAGCTTTCTTTTGGTGGTATTTGATCGCCTGTGTGTTTTTCATTTGTTGCGCTATGAAAAAAAAAATGACCGACAATTTTGAGAAAAAAAAAACAATATTTTGGACGTTTTGCTATTAAACATGTCCAGCAAAAGAATGTTAAAAAATCAAATTTCGTCATAAATTTAGGCCAAAATGTATTCTGCAACGTGTCTTTGCTAAAAAAAAATCCCAATACGTGTAAATTAATTGGTTTCCGTGAAAGTTATAGTGTTTACAAATGGCGATATATATACTGGGATTTTTTTTTTTTACTAGTAATGGCGGCAATCAGCGACTTATAGCGGGACTGCGGCGGGCACTGACTTGGTGTCACTGACATCCCCAGTGACACCAATACAGTGATCAGTGCTAAAAAAAATGTACTGATGTGTACTAATGGCACTGGGCAGGAAGGGGTTAACATGAGGGGCGATCAAAGGGTTAACTGTGTGCTGGGTGTGTTTTACATAGTGCTGTGTCCCTGTACTTCACTGTAAGCACACTGCTTTGGATGGTTGTGCTGTGCACAGCCATCCAAAGCAGTGTGCAGGAGCTGACAGGGAGAACTGTTTTGTTTACAAACAGTTCTCCTCCCCGTCGGAGAAGCTCGGCAATAACCGGGTGCCGGTGAGTAGCCACTGGCCGGGACCCGGTGATTGACAGCCGCGGCCACAAATGGCAGCACGGGTAGGGCGCGCACCCCCTAGCCAGAAATTCATGTGTATATACATGATTTTGCGCACTCGTGGCGCCCTGTAGCAGTATATCAGTGAGTTTAGTTACCACCTTAATCAGCCTCAGAACCTGTGTCATTAATATGTGTTTGGGTTTAAAGGAATGAGATGGCAACCCTAGCTGCAATCCTCGGAGTGTGTCGCCTGTAGGTATCTGGTAGGTGGTCAAGGCCCCTAGCTACATCACCAAACTCATCCACAGATATCGGCCAAATGGCCCACTCCGCTCCTCCTATGATATCTTCCTCTCTAGCTCCCTCATCACCTCCTCCCACGCTCACCTCCAGGACTTCTCCAGAGCCTCTCCCATCCTCCGGAACTCCGTACCCAGCATGTCCGGTCAGCCCCCACCCTGTCTGCCTTTAGGCAATCTTTGAAAACTCACTTCTTCAGGGAAGCCTAACCCACCTCCACCTAGAACTGTACTTGAATCACCTCCGCCAGATCATCCCCCGCAGTTATCACCTTTTGTATCACCTCCCCTTTCCTTTTGATTGTAAGCTCCACGAGCCGGGCCCTCCTATTCCTTCTGTACTGAAATGTATTGTAATTGTATTGTCTCCCTTATATTGTAAAGTGCTGCGCAAACTGTTGGCGCTATATAAATCCTGTATAATAATAATAATAATCTAATAATAATAATAATTATACAAGCATGTAGCTAGACCTCCATGCAGAGAGAGCAGAACAATACATGGTGTTGGATTCAAAGTAATACTCTAAACTTCCTTGGAAAGCTAATACAATTTATATGTCCTAAAATGGGTGGGAACCTAGCTATCTGACTTTGAAGTTACATTCTGGTTTCTGGTGGAGTTCTTTGAAATGTAAACGGACATTCACACAGGTATGTTACATCCCCACTAGTAAACCTTTAGATAGCAATCTTCCCAGCTGGAGGTGTGAATAGCATTCTAACAAAAGAAATACAGCTGTCACACAATAAGATTTCTAATAACAAAATATACATTCAATATATATATCCACCTAATCAAAACTAAAATGTTTGATACAGTTGCAAGAAAAAGTATGTGAACCCCTTAGGATTACGTGGAGTTTTGCATGAATTGGGCATAAAATGTGCTCTGAACGTCATCTAAGTCACAATAGAAGAACACAGTCTGCTGAACATAATACTACACAAACATTAGATGTTGCCATGGTTTAATTGCACATAACATGTAAACATTCACAGTGCAGGGAGGAAAAAGTATGTGAACCTTTGATCTTAATAACTGGTTGACCCTCCTTTGGCAACAATAACCTCAACCAAACGTTTCCTGTAGTTGCAGATCAGACCTGCACAACGATCTGGAGTCATTTTGGACCACTCCTCTTCACAAAACTGTTTCAGTGTAGCAATATTCTTGGGATGTCTGGTGTGCATCACTCTCTTAAGGTCATGCCACAGCATTTCAATCGGGTTGAGGTCAGGACTCTGACTGGGCCATTGTTTTGTTGAATTACTTGTATGCTTTGGGTCATTGTCCTGTTGCATCACCCATCCTCTGCGGAGCTTCAGTTAGCGGACAGATGGTCGTACGTTTTCCTGCAAAATGTCTTGATAAACTCTGGAATTCATTTTCCCATCAATGACGACAATCCGTCCAGGCCCTGAGGCAGCAAAGCAGCCCCAAACCATGATGCTCCCTCCACCATGTTTTACAGTGGGGATGAGGTTTTGATGTTGGTGTGCTGTGCCTTTTTTTCTCCACACATAGTGTTGTGTGTTCTTCCCAAACAACTCAATCTTGGTTTCATCTGTCCACAGTATATTTTGCCAGTAGTGCTGTGGAACATCCAGGTGCTCTTTTGCAAACTTCAAACGTGCTGCAATATTCTTTTTGGACAGCAATGGCTTCCTCCGTGGTGTCCTCCCATGTACTCCATTCTTGTTTAATGTTTTCCTTATTGTAGATGTGTCAACAAAAATGTTAGTATGTGCCAGAGATTTCTGTAGGTCTTTAGCTGACACTCTGGGATTCTTCTTTACCTCATGCAGCATTCTGCGCTGTGCTCTTGCAGTCATTTTTACAGGACGACCACGCCTAGGGAGAATAGCAACAGTGCTAAACTTTCTCCATTTGTAGACAGTCTGTCTTACCGTGGACACATTAACATCAAGGCTTTTGGAGATACTTTTGTAACCTTTTCCAGCTTCATGCAAGTCAACAATTCTTGATCGTAGGTCTTCTGAGAGCTCTTTTCTGTGAGGCGTGGTTCACATCAGACAGTGCTTCTTGAAACCAGTAAACCCAAAACAGGTGTGTGTTTTTAAGGGCAGGACAGCTGTCAGCAACACATCCAATATCATCACATTGATTGGAGTCAGGGGCATCTCATGGGGCCCCCTACTGACCCCGGGCAGTGCTCGAGTTTCCAAATGGCCAGTCCGCCCCTGGGCCAGACTATAGTTTAAAAAAAAATAACTATGAAGAAATGCGGACACAGTACAGGAGATGACCAGAGACTGCGGACATACAACGGCAGCGGGAATACTGGGCCGGCCCGCTCCATAAGATGCACAGACATTTCCCCCCAAGTGTGTCTTATGGAGCGAAATAGTGCCCCATCATTGGTGTCAGTGGGAAGAATTGTGCCCCATCTTTAGTGTCAGTGGGAGGAATAGTGCCCCATCATTGGTGTCAGTGGGAAGAAACGTGCCCCATTATTGGTGTCAGTGGGAGGAATAGTGCCCCATCATTGGTGTCAGTGGGAAGAATCGTGCCCCATCATTGGTGTCAGTGGGAGGAATACTGCCCCATCATTGGTATCAGTGGGAGGAATAGCGCCTCATCATTGGTGTCAGTGGGAGGAATAGTGCCCCATCATTGGTGTCGGTGGGAGGAATAGCGCCCCATCATTAGTGTCAGTGGGGAGGAATAGCGCCCCATCATTGGTATCAGTGGGAGGAATAGCGCCCCATCATTGGTGTCAGTGGGAGGAATAGTGCCCCATCATTGGTGTCGGTGGGAGGAATAGTGCCCCTTCATTAGTGTCAGTGGGGGGAGGAATAGTGCCCTATTGTTGGTGTCAGTGGGGGGAGGAATAGTGCCCTATTGTTGGTGTCAGTGGGGGGAGGAATAGTGCCCCATCACTGGTGTCAGTGTGGGGGGGGATAGTGCCCCGTCATTGGTGCCAGTGGGGGGAAGAATAGTGCCCCGTCATTGGTGTCAGTGGGGGAAGGGGATAGTGTCCCAACATTGGTGTCAGTGGGAGGAATAGTGTCCCATCATTGGTGTCAGTGGGAGGAATAGTGTCCCATCATTGGTGTCAGTGGGAAGAATAGTGCCCCATCTTTGGTGTCAGTGGGAGGAATAGTACGTCACTGGTGTCAGTGGGGGGAATAGTGCCCCGTCATTGGTGTCAGTGGGGGAGGGATAGTGTCCCATCATTGGTGTCAGTGGGGAAAGGAATAGTGTTCCATCGTTGGTGTCAGTGGGGGGTGGAATAGTGCCCCATCGTTGGTGTCAGTGGGGGGGAGGAATAGTGCCCCATCGTTTGTGTCAGTGGGGAGAGGAATAGTGTTCCATCATTGGTGTCAGTGGGAGGAATAATGCCCCATCATTAGTATCAGTGGGAGGAATAGTGCCCCATCATTGGTGTCAGTGGGAGGAATAGTGCCCCATCATTAGTATCAGTGGGAGGAATAGTGCCCCATCATTGGTGTCAGTGGGAGGAATAGTGCCCCATCATTAGTATCAGTGGGAGGAATAGTGCCCCATCATTGGTGTCAGTGGGAGGAATAGTGCCCCATCGTTGGTGTCAGTGGGAGGAATAATGCCCCATCATTAGTATCAGTGACACCAATGATGGGGCACTATTCCTCCCACTGACACCAATGACACTTAACTTGCTGACCCCTGTTCCAGCATGGCTGCTGCTGCAGCCAGCATACCTGGTTGCAGCAGCACCATCAGCACGGCACATTTACCTGTCAGCTGTCCTTCTTCACTCCGGCCTTTCCCTCACTCGATGTTTGCGGGGCCGCTCGGCTCTGCCTCCTCGCAGGTGATTGGCTGCCGGTGTGCCTTTCCTGAGCTGAAGTTCTGGCGCCCAATCACCGGTCAGGAGGCGGAGCCGAGCGGCAGCGCAAACATCGAGTGAGGGAGTGGCCGGAGTGAATGAAGGAGCAGCGCTTCCTGGACTGGATCATCATGGGACTGGGATACGGAACCAGGTAAGATACAGCAGTCCCCTGCCTACCCCTGTACTTAGTGTCCCTTCCTCGTGGCAAATACGCCCCTGCCGGCAGGCAGGATAGATGTCCTCCGTGGGCCGCGGGCTGTAGTTTGAGGACCCCTGCTCTACAGCAAGTGCTAATTCCCGTTCAGCAAGTGCTCAGGTCTTGAGGCCTATTTTAAACTCAGGGTGTGCCTGGCCTCTGTGCTGGATTGTCTTCAGCTCTGCTTCCTATATTCCTAGTTCCTGAAAGTCTGCTTACCCTGTTCCTGACAGATGAGAGCAGGTTCCCCCTGAGCACATGTGACAGACGGGAAAGGGTCTGGAAAAGCCGTGGAGAACATTATGCTGCCTGTAACATCGTTCAGTATGACCATTTTGGTGGTGGGTCAGTGATGGTCTGGGGAGGCATATCCATGGAGGGACATACAGACCTCTACAGGCTAGACCAGCAATGGGCAAACTACGGCCCGGCGGACCTTTTAATCCGGCCCGCGGAGCTAGGCTCCCGCTAGGCTCCTCTCACAGTCCGCCCTGAAGACCGGTGTAGCATGAAAATCTGTCTCCTATGAGGATCTGTCCCCCTCGACGTATCTGCGCATGTGCCGGAGATCGCCGATCGGCTGCTAATGCCTGAAACTGGCACATGCGCAGATACGTCGAGGGGGACAGATCCTCATAGGAGACAGATTTTCATGCTACACCGGAATGGCGCGGGAACACGGCGAGAGGAACACGCGGAGCAAAGGTAAGTGAATTGACCCAGGGGGGACTTGGGGACTTAATATGGGGGATGAATTAATATAGGGAATGAATTACTATATGGGGGATGAATTACTATATGGGGGATGAATTACTATGGGGGATGAATTGCTATATGGGGGATGAATTACTATATGGGGGATGAATTACTATGGGGGATGAATTACTATATGGGGGATGAATTACTATGGGGGATGAATTACAATATGGGGGATGAATTACTATATGGGGGATGAATTACTATGGGGATGAATTACTATGGGGGATGAATTACTATATGGGTGATGAATTACTATGCTTACTATGGGGGAATATTACTATACTTACTATGGATGACACATACACATCATTCATCTACTCTTGGTCCGGCCCCCGGGTCCAATATATGAACCCATTGCGGCCCTCAAGTCAAAAAGTTTGCCCACCACTGGGCTAGACAATGGTACCTTGACTGCCATTAGGTATTGGGATGAAATCCTTGGACCCATTGTCAGACCCTACGCCGGTGCAGTGGGTCCTGGGTTCCTCCTGCTGCACGACAATGGCCGGCCTCATGTGGTGAGAGTATGCAGTCAGTTCCTGGAGGATGAAAGAAATTATACAATTGAATGGCCCCCACGCTCGCCTGACCTAAATCCAATAGAACACCTCTGGGATATCATGTTTCGGTCTATCCGATACCGCCAGGTTGCACTTCAGTCTGTCCAGGAGCTCAGTGATGTCCTGGTCCAGATCTGGGAGGAAATACCCCAGGACACCATCCATCGTCTCATTAGGAGCATGCCCCAATGTTGTCAGGCATGCATACAAGCACGTGGGGGCCATACAAACTACTGAGTACCATTTTGAGTTGCTGTAATGAAATTTCAGCAAAATGGACTCGCCTGCTGCATCATTATTTCACTTTGATTTTTGGGATGTCTTTGAATTCAGTCCTCTGCAGGTTGATCATTTTCATTTCCATCAAACGATGGGACATCCTTAGGTTCCTAACACATTAGCCAGTCTATATCAGTATAGAGATCCAGCATGAGATTTTTCCCCGTTGAGATCTGATGTGTTTTCAAAGTGTTCCTTTAATTATTTTGAGCAGTGTATACGCTGCCATCAAGGACTCATATACTACAAACAGTTGCAGCATAAAGGTGAATGGAAAAAAGAACGGAGCACTTCAGGCAGACCTGTGGAGTCAGACAAAGCTGTAGACTATCCCACTTACTTCATTATATACATCAATGAACTGGCTGCAGTGGTAGAATCCTCCTCACCGGCAGGATTAACTCTGCATGACACCGAGGTGAAGTTCCAGCTGTATGCGGATTACCCCCTATTACTGTCACCATAGAGAGAGGCCTACAAGACAGCTTGGCAGGGAGAAATACGGTGTGACTCAGGCACTACCTATCAACTGAAAGACAAATAAAATCACGAGGATCCAAAGGAAGAAACAAAAAACAAATGAAGAGTTCTTAATTTTCAATAAACAGCTACACGCTTGATAAATCCAACAGTTACACATACTTTGGCCTAGGAAGTAACCAATCATGGAGTTGTAAGCCAGCCATACAGGCCCTAAAAGCTATGGAGAACCTCCAACACCATCAAAACACAGCTATACCACCTAGAACCACCTGCACTGGGTCTCTCTGTTCTGCATTTGTATATAAATCTCAATTTTGGCATCTCACTGCATAGATCTAAGTGTGGTCACCACCTCTCTGTATAGATCTCAATTTAGTCACAATTTCTCTGTATAGATCTCAATGTGGTCACATCTCTCTGCTGAGAACCCAATGTGGTCACCACTTCTCTGTATAGATTCCAGTGTGGTCACCAACTCTCTATATAGATCTCAATGTGGTCACCATTTCTCTGCATAGATCTCAGTATGGTCACCATCTCTCTGTACAGATCCCAATGTGGTCACCATTTCTCTGTATAGATCTCAATTTGGTCACTTCCTCTCTGTATAAATCTGAATGTGGTCACTACCTCTCTGTATAGATCTCAGTGTGGTGAATGTGGTCCTAGATTGTAAGGTCCAAGGATCAGGGCCCTCCTATTCCTCTTGTATTGTTGCTGTATTGTCTCCCGTTATATTGTAAAGCACTGAGCAAACCGTTGGCGCTATATAAATCCTGTATAATAATAATAATGTGGTCACCATCTCTCTGTATAGATCTCAGTGTGGTCACCACCTCTCTGCATAGATCCCAATGTGGTCACCGTCTCTCTGTATAAATCCCAGTGTGGTCACCACCTCTCTGTATAGATCTCAATGTGGTCACCATCTCTCTGTATAGATCTCAATGTGGTCATCAACTTTCTGTATAGATCCCAGTGTGGTCACCAACTCTCTGTATAGATCCCAGTGTGGTCACCATCTCTCTACAAAGATTCCAATGTCGTCACCACCTCACTGTATAGATCTCAATGTGGTCACCACTTCTCTCTCTGTGCAGATCTCAATGTGGTCACCACCTCTTTGTATGGATTCCAATGTGGTCACCACCCCTCTGTACAGATCTCAATGTGGTCACCATCTCTCTGTTCTTCGTCTGGATGGAGATCACTATAAGTTGAAATAATTCACGTATGGATGCATTGAAATGGCTGATTTACACACAGGGGTATATTTACATTATTTTTTTATTTTTTATTAGTAAATATAAACTGCTAAATACCTTTTCCCATCAGCAGTTAGAGCAGTCTTGTGACTTCTATCAGTATCCAGCAGAGCACTGGTTAAAGCATGTAAGAGTTTTCATTCTCCCTTGATTGTCCTATGAGGCAGCAGGACCCCTGACTCTCTGTCTGGACAGCGCTGATTGGCCCTGTGCTAATCACATGCACTCTCCCAAGAAATAAAACAAAAAATATCTAGCAATACACACCAATCTGAGCATGTGCAGCTTGCCCCAAAAGTTCTGTTCTATCAGCAGATGGATTGGGGACAGTAGAAGGGGAGGATCAGAGAAGACAGGATCAAACAGTGGTTTTATACAATGCAGAGGATTAACCCCTCAGGTTCCACAGTGAGTATAACAAGCATGTTTTACTGCATATACAGACTGTACTGTTGTAGGTTTAGTATCATTTCAAGTCAATGAAAGGCATTCAACTAGCACAGGAAAAAGCCTATTAATATTTTTTTTTTGCCCCATTTGCAAAGAACAAATATAAACGCACTTTCGCAGAGTGAATTGCTATGCATTTTTTTTAATAGATACACTCTTTAGTGTAAGTATGGATAAATCATTTTTCTAATTTTGGCTAGAGTGTTAAAGGGTTAGATCTTCTGTCACGTTTTTATTGAGGTCTTAGTTCCTGTTGGGTAGATTCACCCCACTCTATTTCTCCTGATGACCATTGTCAGTGGGTCAGAAAGTGAAAGAAATTCCAAAATGTTACCATAAGAGGTGAGGGCAAATGTTTTTTAATAGTGACAACCTTTCAGGTGGCAGTTATATAAATGAAGAACTCCCCTTGCTTTGTGGAGACTTCCTCTCACTTTCTTTTGTGTCTACCAGACATAAGGTGGGATGGTAAAAAGAAAAAAAAATTGAGTTTTTTTTTTTTTTAATTTTTAACGTGTATGACACTGGAAATTGCACCTGAATCGGACTGAAAATCGTACCTGACTCTTTTTAAAATCGCACTGCGGCCGGCCCGCACATATGTGAACCACCTCCATAGAAAGCCAGTTTAGTTCATTTGTCATGCATCCAATTCACATACTGTATATGTGAACCAGGGCTTAGTGTTTATGAAGGAATCTCTTCCACAGCGCTATTGTGTTCTGTTGGTGGGAAACCTTCCCTACTGGCAAAGCACAATGATCATTGCTGGCAGCTATAGCCACCGACAGTGATCATATGAAAAAAATTCGGCAGGCTGGGTATACTGAAGTTGATCAATGGATGTACTTCAGTACAACCAGCCTGCCTATAGATGGATCAAATCTCAGATAGTCCCTGCTGAACCAGCCAAGATTTGATCCATCAAGGGCCGGCTTAAGTCTCTAGTTATAGGGCCAATGTTAAAGTAGTATTAAAGGAAGATTTCTACTGAAACAAGAAGAATCAGCACACTGGACACATCTTACTTCGTTATGACCCTTGTGCTGATTTGTATGCTTTTAACTTTTGCTAAGTGTAGGCTTTAAACTGTCAGTGTTTTTTTTTTAGTTTAACACATTGCACACAATACAATAAACAGTCCCCAGTAAACTGTTAAAATTCTTACCCCAGAGCTTGCCGTTACCAAATTTCAGTGCTGCTGGCTACTGCACTCTCAGTGCTGCTTACAACAGAGTTCTGGTCCTCGGTGTCACCTCTGCTCTTTAATTCGATTCCCCATTAAAATGCCATTACAAAATGTCTAAAATGTATTGGCTTATCACATATGTACATCAATGAACAAGGCATCAATCAAAACCGCATGAAGGACATTGTTGGCGTCTCACCGCACTTCCGCAAGCAGCCTGCGTTTTCCCTGCCAAATGTGAAAATGTCACCAGCACACCGAGGATCACCAATATGGGTCCAAATGTTTTAATGAACGATCACATAGTTACAGCATGGCAATGTTTTGGAGTCTCGCAGGACCCCTTCATCAGGCATGTGATCACATGCATCACATGCCTGATGAAGGGGTCCTGCGAGACTCCGAAACGTTGCTTGCTGTAACTGTGATCGTTCATTAAAACTTTTGGACCCATATTAGTGATCCTCGGTGTGCTGGTGACATTTTCCCTTGCTGATTCTGTTTGGTTGCTGGACCCATATCGGTGATCCTCGGTGTGCTGGTGACATTTTCCCTTGCTGATTCTGTTCGGTCACTGGACCCATATTGGTGATCCTCGGTGTGCTGGTGATATTTTCCCTTGCTGATTCTGTTCGGTCGCTGGACCCATATTGGTGATCCTCGGTGTGCTGGTGATATTTTCCCTTGCTGATTCTGTTCGGTCGCTGGACCCATATTGGTGATCCTCGGTGTGCTGGTGACATTTTCCCTTGCTGATTCTGTTCTGTCGCTGGACCCATATTGGTGATCCTCGGTGTGCTGGTGACATTTTCCCTTGCTGATTCTGTTCTGTCGCTGGACCCATATTGGTGATCCTCGGTGTGCTGGTGACATTTTCCCTTGCTGATTCTGTTCGGTCGCTGGACCCATATTGGTGATCCTCGGTGTGCTGGTGACATTTTCCCTTGCTGATTCTGTTCGGTCGTTGCAGTGCCCACTTATACACAGAGCCATTTTTAACGCAGGAACGTGTGCGTTTTGTACTCTTGTTCCCTGCCGAATGTGACATTCCCTACTTTTTTTGTCATGACGTGATGCAAATCCTCACAACTGTGACAGTGTGCTTTGGGCCCCGTGTCAACCATTGCTGGGTTTTGACAAGAGACTAAGGCTTGTTAAATATGTGCCTCAATTGTCTAGTTTTTTTTTCACGTGACAAATATTCATATGAAAGGGGCCAAAGTTGGGAGGTATGCGTGTAAAGGGTTGGGGGGTGCTATGTGCCCATTATTGATGTGAGTCAAGTTTCAGAGGAAAAACGGCAAACAAATAAGGTTGGTTTTGGCCATCTGCAAGTACCATAGACAGGAGATGGTCACCTGGCTGTGAACGATAGGATTTTATTACAAATCTGACCTGTCATAACATTAGTATTTACAAGCAAATCTGTAACTTCCCAACATACATATTACAGTGAAACTAAATGTATTTACGTAAGGCCTCAGGCAACCATGTCGGAATGTTAGATTTCAGCAATAGAAGATTAGCGCTGTTAGTTTTTGGGTGAAAAAGAGCTATGACCTAAACCGGGAGTGTCCAAACGTTTTTTTGGTACGATTGCCACATTGTATATTTTAGAAATATTTGCAGGCTGAATAAAATCAGTTTTATAAATGAATGAAAAAAATTTAAATGAATGAATACGTTTCCTTGGAGTTATTTTGTAATCAGCATGATATGATTCAGGACAACAGAGAAATAACATATTTTGAAAGAATAAAGGTGAATAAAGCACCTGGACTGGATGACATACACTCACGGGTCCTTACAGAATTGAGCTCTGTCATTCACAGCCATTGTTTCTCATTTTTAGGGACTCTTTAATGACTGGCATAGTACCACTGGATTGGCATAAGGCCAATGTGGTGCCAATATTTAAAAAGGGGTCAAAATCTTTACCAAGTAATTATAGACCTGTTAGTTTAACTTCTGTAGTTGGGAAGATACTGGAGAGTTTAATAAAAGACCACATAGATGAGTTCTTGCTGGAAAAAAAATATTTTAAGCAACAGACAGCATGGATTCATGAAAGACAGAAGTTGTAAAACAAATCTGATTTCATTTTATGAGGTGGTGAGCAAAACCTTGGACAGAGGGGTGGTGGTGGACGTGGTATACTTGGACAGAGGGGTGGCGGTGGACGTGGTATACTTGGACAGAGGGGTGGCGGTGGACGTGGTATACTTGGACAGAGAGGTGGCGGTGGACGTGGTATACTTGGACAGAGGGGTGGCGGTGGACGTGGTATACTTGGACAGAGGTGGCGGGGGTAGCAGAGGGGTGGGGTGTGGACGTGGTATACTTGGACAGAGGGGGTGGCGGTGGACGTGTGGTATACTTGGACAGAGGGGTGGCGGTGGACGTGGTATACTTGGACAGAGAGGTGGCAGTGGATGTGGTATACTTGGACAGAGGGGTGGCGGTGGACGTGGTATACTTGGACAGAGAGGGGGTGGCGGTGGATGTGGTATACTTGGACAGAGGGGTGGCGGTGGACGTGGTATACTTGGACAGAGGGGTGGCGGTGGGTGTGATATACTTGGACAGAGAGGTGGCGGTGGATGTGGTATACTTGGACAGAGGGGTGGCGGTGGACGTGGTATACTTGGATTTTGCAAAAGCATTTGACACAGTTCCCCACACACGGCTCATGTGTAAAGTCTACAGGCTTGGAAAAATCTGTATGTAAATGAATAGAAAAATGGCTAAAAGATCGTATTCAGAGAGTAGTGGTTAATGATTCATACTCTGAATGGTATATACATACTAGGGGGGTACAACTGGGGGAATCAATGGTGGAGAAGGATCTGGGGGTTCTGGTAGATCATAAAAACAGCAAACAGTAATTGTGTATTAGGGCACATTACAAAATTCCTGTCACAATGTACCATTCATTACACCCTTGCTGCATTTTGTAAGTTCAAGTTTCTTTTTAGCGCAGTGGCCCCAACGCCCTCATACTGTAGTGTGCTGTAGACGGGCGGGGACCACGGGAACACTCTCTATGACTAATATGAAACCTGTTTTACAACTTTGGCTTGTGAATGGCCCAGCAAAAATAAAGCTTGTACCTTTTGAAATAAGAGGCCTTTAAAAAAGGACTTCTTCAGTACTTGTATCAGTATTTGGTACTGAGCATTGATTGCGTGGAAGGGTCGCCTTTAACCCTTTCACAACTAGATATTAATGTAGCCTAGGTGCCCAAATTTAGCAGTGTCAGCAGTGGTGTATTTAGGTTTTGTGCTGCCCTAGGCAACACAAAAAATCGCCCCCCCCCCTTTCCCTGCAGAGATAGCCTGACATTGACCAACAACACCCCCGACCCCTCCCCCCCAAAGAGAGCCTTCCACTATCACTGCCCCCCATACACGAGCCACCATGCATCAAGTCCAGACAGAGAGACTCGCCGTCACAGCTCCGGATATCCCTGGGAACAAGAATGGGGTAGTGCCAACACCGTCATGAAACCCGCAGCCTCTCTCGGAACCAACCAGGTCCCCATGGCGGGTGTGTCCCTTCTTCTGAGGGGAAGTGCTGCCCCCCCACCCTGAAAAAATGCCGCCCTAGGAAAATGCCTTGTTTGCCTTTTGGTAAATACACCCGAGTGTCAGTATGCATCAGTCAATAACACTAAGAATTCGGCATAGTCAAGATGCATCCGAAGCTCGAATATTGTAAAGTGGTTCAGTTAGCTTTGTCTCTTGGATTAATGCACTTTTTAATGCATGCTAATAGTCTGCAGCTTGGCATTGCATGTCATCCACTGTGAGTCTGTCATCTACTAGGACCCCCAGATCCTTTTCCATCCTCGAAACTCCCCAGAGGTTTTCCCCTAACGAGTAACTTGCATTCATATTTTTAGCTCCTAAGCGCATTACTTTACATTTTTCGATATTAAACCTCATCTAGGTCTTCTTCTAAAGTTGCTACATACTGTTGAGAAGTTCCTTCCTGTTGCTTCAGTATGTTCTAAGGCAGGGGTCTCCAAACTTTTCAAAAAAAGGGCCAGTTGACTGTCCTCAAGGCTTTAGGGGGCCGATCTGTGGCCAGTGTGAGTAGAAAATGTCCCAGCATCAGTGGGAGTAAACACTGCTCCACCACTGGTTTAACAGGAGGAATAGTGAACCATTGTAGGCTTTAAGAGGAATAGTGAACTATGGTTGGTATCAATTGCAAGCATAGTGCCCTACTGACGGTGTTAGGGGGAGAAATAGCACCCCATCATTGGTCCTAGTAGGAAGAATAGCACCCCATTGATGGTATCAGTTGGAAGAAGAGTGTTCCATTAATGGTGAAAGTTGGAGGAATGGTGCCTCATCATTGGTGTCATTTGGAACAATAGTGTCCCAAAGGCCAGATAGAGGCAAGCAAAGGGTCGAATCTGGCCCCTGGGCCGCAGTTTGGAGACCACTGTTTTAAGGCACTGACCCTGAAAAAAGGGAGGGAAGGAGGAGGGGTTATGTCCTCTTTTCGTCATACTCCTGTGACCCAGATTCAGGCTAAAGCCTGCTGTCAGCTGATGTCTCAAAGCTGGTCCAGGCTATGACAGTCACTGCTCTGGGCAGACCTGGGAACTGAGAGATCAGCGGTTTTCGATCACTCAGTTCTTGGTGTAGAGCCATCAGGGGACAGCTGCAGTTCAGAGCAATGCTATAGCCATCTAGGTGAATGTGTATGTTTATTATTTTGGAATCCCACATGACGGCATTTTTTTTTGTACTTGGGTTTAGCTGTTAAAGTGCTACTAAACACACAACAGTAAAATCAGTCTGTATATGCAGTACAGCATGCTTGTTATACTCAATGTGGAACCTAAGGGGTTACTCTTCTGCATTGTGTAAAAAGGCTGTTTGATCCTGTCTTCTCTGATCCTTCCCTTCTTCCAGTGTACCCCTCTTATCTCTTGATAAGACCTATCACGTGGAGACACTCTGCACATGCTCAGTTTGGTGTGTATTGCTAGAGAGGTTTTTCTTTTTCTTGGGAGAGTGCTTGTGATCAGCACAGGGCCAATCAGCACTGTCCTGACAAAGGTCAGGGGTTCTGCATCCTCCTAGAGCAGAAAGAAAACTCCTCCTACAAGCTTTAACCAGTACTCTGCTAGACACTGATAGAAGTCACAAGACTGTTATATACTGCTGATGAGAAAAGGTATTTAGCAGTTTATATTTACTAAAATAATTGCATTTCCATGTTGTGTGTACTGTGGGAGACCAGATATAGTGAATGCAGGGTCCGGGGAGACCAGATATAGTGAATGCAGGGTCCGGGGAGACCAGATATAGTGAATGCAAGGTCCTGGGTTTAGTAATACTTTAAGCCTTATACACACGATGAGAAAATCGGACAAATGATCGGCCATTTTTTTCCATGCTAGTCTCTATATCGAAAACAAAGAGGTTACTCAACTAACGAAAATTCTTGTATGACAGAATAAAATTTCAGAAGTGATGTAATATATTGTATTGTATTTGTTTTGATTTTCTGATGAAAACTATACTGATTAAACAAAAATCGTACCGGCCAGTGCTGATTGGCCCTGTGCTGATCCCATGCACCCTCCCAAAGAAAACTTTAGCAATACACACTAAGCTGAGCATGTGCAGTGACTCCTAGAGCTTTGTACTACCAGCAGATGGATTGGGGCAGTAGAAGAAGGGAGGGATCAAACAGCATTTTTACACAATGCAGATGATTAACCCCTTAGGTTCCACAGTGAGTATAACAAGCATGCTTTACTGCATATACAGACTGATTGTACTGTTGTGGGTTTAGTAACACTTTAACAGCTAAACCCAAGTACAAAAAAAAAAATGCTGCCATGTGGGATTCCAAAATAATAAACTCTGACGCCTGCCGACAGAGCTAGTGTGAACTGAGCCCTAGAAAAGTAGTGAGACAATCACAAAAGCAGAAAAATAGATTTCTAAAGGCATGCAGCACACCCAGGGGCAGACTGACCATTTGGAAACTCTGGCACTGCCCGAGGGCCCGGGGTCAGTAGGGGGCCCCATGAAATGCCCCGGTACCTTTTTCATAGGCTTTTTTGAGTTTGGGCAAGGACACAGGGGCCCCATGATCCCCTATTGCCTGGGGGCCCCATCAGTTGTCAGTCCGCCCCTGAGTACACCATTAGTATATATAATTGTCTCCAGGCTGTCATGATGCAACTAAACAATGTCTGACTTTTTTGACAATCGCAGAGCAATTTTGGAAGTTTACATCATCTGCAGATGGCGCACTTCAGTTTTAGTGCAGCTGAGGAGACTTGAAGCTGTTAACCCCACAGTGCTGGAAGTTCAGCCACAGGAAGAGTACAGGGCAGCCCTGAAGGGAAGAATTCTACAGAACTCAGCAGCCTGCACAACATGGGTACGCAATGTAATGAAAGCTGTAGAGAAAAAATGTCTTTTCGCTAAATGTCAGGTTTTAAAAACAAGAGTATATAATTATTTAATGTCGGTAGTCTGGGCACAGGTGCACTTTATATTTTTCTTAGGGAAACAATCATATATCGCATGTGATTCGCACAGGAATCACACCGCCTTCCTGTGCAAATCACATGCGATTCTGTGCGGTGCAATTTGAGCCCATTCATTTTGTATGGCTCAAATCACACCAGAACGGTGCAGGAACCTTTTTTTTTTCTTTTGCTGCACTGGAATCAGATCGCATGGGTGTTCATACCCATGCAATCCGATTCAGGAAAATGCACTGCATTTTGCAACCTGATTTTGGGGTGTCCTTAACCAGTTCATGTCCGGACACTTTTACCCCTTTCCTGTCCAGGCCAATTTTCAGCTTTCAGTGCTGTCGCACTTTGAATGACAATTGCTCGATCATGCAACACTGTACCCATATGAATTTTTTAGCATTTTTTTGAGACAGATAAAACTTTATTTTGGTGGTATTTATTCACCACTGGGAATTTTTTTTTTTTTTTTGCTATATAAATTAAGTCCAAAACTTTTGAAAAAAAATGTTTTTCTTATAAAATTTTGCAAATAAAAAATCTTTCTTCATAAATCTTGGCCAAAATGTATTCATCTATCTATTTAGTAAAAAAAAAATAACCCAAATTAGTTCATAACCAAAAATTATAATTTTTCAAAAAAACTTTTTACATTATTTTTTTTTTATATTATTATTTGTTTTTTTTTAACATACGGTCACCCTAGCAGTACAGTGTCACCATGGTGACACTGTACTACTTGTGGGGGGTGAAGATTTTTATTTTTTACACTGATTGATTTTACACCCATAAAGGCTGTAAAAGCAATCATTTCTCCTACTCTCTGGCTGCATTCTTGCAGCCATTGAGAAATACTGTGAGAGCTGTGATTGGTCACAGCTTGTCACATGGTACAAGGCTGTTGTGAATAGCCTTGTACCATGTGATTTCTGTGATCATTCACAGATTTCACACGTAGTAAGCAATGATGTCAGAAGTGACATCTTGCTTACACCTATTCATGTGATCACTGATTGGCCAATCAGTGATCACATGATCGGGACCTCACACAGAGGTCCCGTATAGCGATTGGTATTCCGCTGTGTCCGGATCGCGGTGTTGCACGCTCCCAGGGAGCATGCACAATCCAAACTGGTGGGCACTGTTTGTGAACGGCAACCGGCCCCTGCACTGCCACCGTCCGGCCGTTTATATACAGCGGCCAGACGGGAAGTAGTTAACATTGACACCTGCAGCAGATTGCATGAACACAGTATGATTGCTATGTAGTGCGGGAAACACACAGGAATCGCTGTTTCCCCCACCACACCAGTGTGAACCCAGGCTCAATGTCACTCAAGTTGCCATTGTTTTTAATGTGTACACTTTTCATGTTGCCAGCAATACCCAGCATGTAGAGTTACTGTGCTAGTCTGTACATTCCAGGGGCGGACTGACAACTCATGGGGCCCCCGGGCAATAGGGGATCTTGGGGCCCCTGTGTCCTTGCCCAAACTCAAAAAAGCCTATGAAAAAGGTACCGGGGGCATCTCATTGGGGCCCCCTACCGACCCCGGGCCCTCGGGCAGTGCCCAAGTTTCCAAATGGTCAGTCCGCCCCTGGTACATTCCCACCACTTGTTCTAGGTACCATTCGAGGGCCAGTGTAATTGGGCTTTGGGCTGTAAATGCTGCATACTTTTGGATTCTATCACACTGATCCATACAGTATATGCAGTGTGTTTGTTACAGGACATTTGATGCATTTTCCATTGATTTCAATGGGGAGGTGTATTTTTGGTGCGTGTTTTTACCGCACCAAGCCTTCACCAAAAATGCAGCAAGCAGGAATTTAAAAAAAGCACAGGACCCACAACAGGGCAGTGTGAATACTTCCATAGGAATACATAGTCACACATTTTACTTCTGCTTTTTTAATGCAAAAGCGGAAGAAAAAGAGACCAGTGTGAAAGCAGCCTTTGTCGGCAGTTTGAGACACTTCTGAGATCATTCAGAATTTATTGCAGGTGTATTTGACCTGAAGTTAACCTCCTTCTGACCTGCTTCAAGCTGCTTTTGCATTACTTTAAGCCGGCATACATGGGTCGAATTCTTTAAAAAATTGTAACTTTGGGCTCATGTACACTGCAGCTCCTAAACTGACGTTCAGGAGCTGTTCAGCGTTTTTTTTCAGCAGTCCCTAAACTCTCCCTAATGTTTTCCTATGTGTCCATGTACACATCGTCGTTTACAGGTAGTTGAGTTTACAGTCGTTTTTTTTTAACTCACCAAACTTGCGTTCAGTAGATTTTACCGGTGTTTCAAATGCCAAATGCTTGTAAACGTGGTTAACCGCGTTTATAAGCGTTTGCGTTTAGAAGCGTTTTTTAACTGTTCCATGTCCAGATGCTGTCCAGAGCCTTTTTTTCATCATCAGAAATGCATGCAAAGTGTTTTCCATGTATTCAAAGGGACCCGGTACACCAGCGCAGTCAGTTCCAGGTTTTGTGTGAAGGAAAAAATGATAGAATATGCCGCATTATACTCATGATGGGATCCATAGTGAATACAACCAGAAAAGACAGGTCATCTCAACACATACTGCTCTCTCTGCTTCTGCTCTCTCTAAATGTCTGAAATAGTTAATTATTTACTGTTTTTCAGTGCATTCTGGGCATTTGGGAGGGTCTCCTGAGGTTATCTTTAAAAACGCTTAACACAAACGCACATAAACACACATGCAAACGCGGCTTTTTAACCTACGTTTACCAGCAGTTTCCATCGTTCAAAAAAGTTTTCTAAACGCCCCGTGTACATGAGCCCTAAGAGTTTTCGTTTGAATTTCGTACCGTTAGGGGGAGGCAGCAATGGCTGATTTTCGTGAAGCCATCAGATTTGATTGATGGGGCATGTTGGAAATTTTTGGAAAAATGAACAAAATTCTAATCAATAATGGGAGAATCGTACAAGAAATATAATCAAAAAAGAAATGAGCATGAGCTGTGACCTGAAAAGAAAAGAATATTCCCGTCCGTTAAATTTCTTTTCTGTAGCAACATGGGGAGAAATTGAAGGCTTGGTCAGTGGAATTTCAAAATCAATGGTGACTCCACCAGTTTATAAAATGCACAAAATTTCCAATTTTTCAAAGAAAATTTGTTCGGAATTCAACCTGTGTATGGCCTGCATTAGACTTGAATGGAGAGAGAAGCAGTTCTAACACAAGTCCTTCTATACTAGCTGTTCCCATTTGGCTAAGACTAAGGCCCACATTGGGAAAAAAATTGTTTTTAGCATTGTGGTCTATATGTAACCTTTAGGGCCAGTTCACACCACAAAAATGCACTCCGGATGCATTCTGGACACATTTTTGCTTACAGTTCACACCACATGCAGTTCCGGTGCAGTTTTGATGTGTTTTGCTATGTTCCGGTATGGTTCTGTGCCGAAAAAATGCAGCATGTTCTACTTTTTTTTCTGCTTCGAAAAACTGACTGGAACTGACTGCACTGGTGTGAACTAGGACCATTGGAATACATGGAAAACACTGTGCATGCATTTTTGATGCAGAAAAAAAATGCGCTGGACTGCAGCTAGTGTGAACTAGCCCTTAATCATGACCAATAATGAGTGTTTGAAATCCCAATATAACAAACAAGAGATCCCTGTGCTCAAATCCATACAGCTAGTGCATGCATTTATCCATCCAATTTCTAGTGTTAATATGTGGTTACACCCCTTTAGCACCTGATGGATAAATGCATGCTCTAGCTGTTGTGATCTGAGCACAGGGATCTCTTGTTTGTTGTATTGTTGGGTCAGTAGCCAGACCTGAACCTTGTAGCTCTCCCCATTGTGTCTTTTCCCCTATGCTAGCATTGTGTCCACAGTAGCACTTGCGTAGGCAGGGCAGAGTAGGACTGGCCATAGAGGGATTACTTTGACGCAGTTGGCCAGCTTAAGCATGTATTGCAATATGTGTGAACTAAATATCCCTATTTATTGCATTATCTGCTTGAAAGGGTATATACCAGTGTGCAGAGGGTCCTTCAGAATTTCTAGTGAAATCCCAATATTACTACACGGTAACCAGGAGAGAAACTCCAACCACCATCCACCCACTAAGGATACCAGGGGTTGAGCAGTAGTGAGTTTACTGGAGCAGTCAACATTTCTAGCAATTTTTCCAGGGCACATTTCATGTGAAAAAAAATTAATTACGGAATTGAAGAACACTTTAAAATGCTTGATTTCTTGTGCTTTTTAAGTTGTTGACAGGTGCTCTTTAGGAAGGAAGATCTGCATTAGGTACACTGTCACATAAACTTTATAGTATGTCAGTTTACAGACTCAATACTACAATTAAAAAACAACCAACCAAAGAATTGCGACAGCTTGGTATAATACTCGATGTGACCTGATTTGTAATCTTGTATTACACGGTAAGTAGTTGACACTCTTGTAAATAGTCATTTAAGTGAAATTGAATCCTTTATACCAAGGTGCATATTTGATACACAATTACTGACATTACAGATCAGTAATGACAATATAATTAAATGCCTTCCTACAATAAAACAAGTTGATGTTCTTTATTGTCATAATAATTGAATTTGGTTTTATGTGCAGTCTTTTTGTCTTTGCATTATTTTTTTTTTAATTATTTTTTTTTTTTTATATATATATATCACGTAATCACTGCTTTGATTACTGTGTGAATTGAATATATTGTGTCCTTTATTAAATCATAGCACTTTTATAGGTAATATTGTTTTAACTAGTCGCCCTCTGCCCTATAGCACAAATACTGCTACAGGGCTGCGCAAAAGCACGAATATATACAGTTCGGTCCATATATATTTGGACACAGGCACAATTTTAGATTTTTTCAGATATTTATTAAAACATATTCACGCTATAGTTATATAATGGATATGGGCTGAAAGTGCACACTCTCAGGTTTAATTTGAAGGTATGTACATCCAAATTGGGGGAAGGGGTTAGGAATTACAGCTCTTAAGAGTAGCCATCCCCCCTTTTTAAATTAACTGAACAATCGAATAAAACGCTGTTTCATGGCCAGGTGTGGGATACTCCTTTGCTATTTCTTCATGAATTAAGCAGGTAAAAGGTCTGGAGTTGATTCTAAGTGTGGTATTTGCCTTTGGAATCTATTGCTGTGAACTTACATCATTCGTTCAAAGGAGCTGTCCATGCAAGTGAAACAGGCCATTGTAAGGCTTCAAAAATTAAATAAATCCATCAGAGAGATAGCAGCAACATTAGGAGTGGCCAAATGAACAGTTTGGTACATTCTGAGGAAAAAAGAATGCACTGGTGAGCTCAGCAACATAAAAAGGCATGGACGTCCATGGAAGACAACAGTGGTGGGTGATTGCAGCATCCTCTCTATGGTAAAGAAAAACCCATTCACAATATCCAGACAAATGAAGGACACTCTCCAGGAGGTGGGCGTATCATTGTCAAAGGCTACAATCAAGAGAAGACTTCACGAGAGCAAATACAGAGGGTTCACCACAAGGTGCAAATCATTCAAAAGACTGAAGAATAGAAAAGCCAGATTAGACTTTGCCCAAAAAAAAAAACAAAAAAAAAGCCAGACCAGTTCTGGAAAAGCATTCTTTGGACAGATGAAACTAAGATTAATCTATACCAGAATGTCGGGAAGAAAAAAGTGTGGAGAAGGCTTGGAACAGCTCATGATCCAAAGCACACAATGTCATCTGTAAAACATAGTGCAGGCGGTATGATGGCATGGGCATGCATGGCTTCCAGTGGCACTGGGTCATTGGTGTTTATTGATGATGTGACAGAAGACAGAAGTAGTCGGATGAATTCTGCAATGTTTAGAGATATACTGTCAGCCCAGATTCAGCCAAAGGCACCAAAGTTGATTGGATGGCGCTTCACAGTACAGATGGACAATGATCCAAAACACACTGCAAAAGCAACCCAGGAGCTTTTGAAGGAAAAGTGTAATATTCTACAATGGTCGAGTCAATCACCTGATCTCAACCCAATTGAGAAAGCATTTCACTTGCTGAAGGCAAAACTAGAGGCAGAAAGACCCACAAAGAACAACTGAAGACAGCTGCAGTTAGAGCCTGGCAAAGCATCAGAAAGTAGGAATCCCAGTCTTTGGTAATGTCCATGGGTCCCAGACTTCAGGCAGTCATTGCCAGTAAAGGATTCTCAACAAAATATATCAAAAATGAACATTTTATTAATGATTATATTAATTTGTCCAATTACATTTGATCCCCTGAAAATGGAGGGACTGTGTATAAAAATGGTTGCAGTTCCTAAAATTTGTACTTGATATTTATGTTAAACCCCTTGAATTAAAGCTGAAAGTCTGCACTTCAAATTCATTCGGATTGTTTCGTTTTAATTTATTCTGGTGGCATAGAGAGCCAAAAGTATGAAAATTGTGCATTTCCGGGTATTTGCATTTCCATTGACGGCTACAGATGTCGATCACCGGGTCCCGGAAGGAGATTCCCCTCTGGCAACCGGCAAACGCCAAGAGACAGTGACAGGGGAGAGACCTGTGTGTAAACAACACAGGTCTCTCTCCTGCCAGCAGTAACATGCTGCTGTGTAATTCTCTGCACAGCATGGCTCCCTACTAAAAACACACACAGCACACAGTTAACCCTTTGATTGTCCCAGATGTTAACCCCTTCCTTTCCAGTATCATTAGCACAGTGTCAGTGCTTTTTATTAGCACTAATCACTGTATTAGTGTCTTTGGGATGTCAGTAGCAATTAGTTCCCACCCAGTGTCAGAATGCCCGCCACAGTCCCGCTATAAGTCGCTGATCGCCGCCATTACTTGTATATAAAAAAATTAAAATTCCAGTATCTATACTGCCATATCTGGACGCTATAACTTTCATGTAAACCAATTAATTTACACGTATTGGGTTTTTTTTTTAGCAAAGACATGTAGCAGAATACGTTTTGGCCTAAATTTATGACAAAATATGTTTTTTTTTATTTTTTTACTGGACATGTTTTATAGCAAAAAGTCAAAAATATAGTTTTTTTTTCAAACTGTTATTTTTTTGTTTATAGCGCAAAAAATAACAAATGCACAGGTGGTCAAATACCACCAAAAGAAATCACTATTTGTGGGAAAAAAGGAACATAAATTGCATTTGGGTGCAGCATTGCATGACCGCGCAATTGTCAGTTAAAGTAACGCAGCGCCGTATCGCAAAAAATGGTCTGGTCAGGAAGGGGGTAAGTCTTCTGGAGGGCAAGTGGTTAAAAAAAACTTTCATAGAATTGGAAAATGCCTTGCATCCTCAGAACCCTAAACCTGTAATTTATACTGATAAAAGAAAAAACCTTCAATGAACTGAACCTGATGTAAACCTGACATGAACTGCTGAACTACTGTATCAATTAGCTGTGAAACCTGAGCTTCAATCCGCAGCGCACGTATGTGAATCACCTCTCATACTGCATGGTCCAGAGTACTCCAAAGGAAAAAAACTTTTCTGATGCTCAGGGGCAATTAAATAACTCATTTAATCATGGTATTCAATTCTTTAACGCGGAACTTCACTCTCTCAATCAGCATTGACCATTTTTTTTTTACCTTATGCTTCTAGTCTTAATAAACAGATAGGAAGCTACACTTTATGTATTTTATAACATTTCTTCAGTTACTTTCTAGTTTCCATGCCTAGGCATATGATGTCATACAATCCAGGAGTCTTCAGGAGGGGAGGAGGTGTTTTTTTTTTTACAGTTATGCACACCCTCCTGCCTGCATGCCTGAGCTAAGGAAAGATGGATTCCAGGAAATAAATGATACATGAATCATCTGCCCTTAATCAAGATGGCCATGGCCAGAAATGCTAGAAGGGTGTTTTGAAAGAGATTTCTCAGCAAAATAAGGCACGGCGACATGATTGGATGGGTGAGTTTGCTTTGAATGTTAAAAATGAATTAAATAGCGTTTTTGGTTTGTGGTGCTCAAATGCAGTGTAGTTCCTCTTATACTGTAATTGTATATCCTAAATCCTTTCCTCCCATCACACAGAAAGCTTTCCAGGGAATTTATTCTATTGACTACTTCTAAATTTACAAGTTGATCATTTCCCTCTTTAAAGGGGAACTGAACTTTAGAAGCTGTGCCCAAAAAGACAGGCAGAGGGCAAAGGACTAGTCACCAGTTTTGCCGATGGTCTTTCCTGCAACTTGTTCTGCATTGTGTCTCTGTGGGGAAGTGGCCACCTTGTTAGAGACAGTGTTTTGCTTCCTCATGTCAGGGAAATTCCCTTGATGACTGGTGATCTGATGACCGAAGGAGTAATGAACAAGAGCAGCAGGAGAGGTGGAGGAAGCACAGATCCACAGAATGAATGAAGTGAAAGCAGCGAGATGCATTGTAGGTCCTCAGGTACAGTGCCTTGAAAAAGTATTCATACCCCTTGAAATTTAAATTTTTTGTTATAACATGAGAAAATGTGGAAAATTTCAAGAAGTATGAATCATTTTTCAAGGCACTGTACAGCTTTCTCTCCAGCAAGGAGAACAGTGGGCACCACAGTAGTAACATCAGACTCCACCTCCACAACATTGCCAAAATCCGCACTTTCCTAACCCCAGAAACCACTAAACAGCTCATCCACTCCCTCATCATATCACGACTCGACTACTGCAACTCCCTCCTCACTGGCCTGCCTCGCCACAGGCTATCCCCGCTTCAGTCGATCCTGAACACGACAGCCAGACTCATCCACCCTCTCAACCACTCCAATTCCGCCACCCCCCTCTGCCAATCCCTCCACTGGCTTCCGATTGCACAACGGATCAAATTCAAAATGCTAACACTGACATACAATGCTGTCCATCATACTCCCCCAAACTACATCACCGACCTGATATCCAAGTACCACCCAACACGCACACTCTGCTCCTCTCAAGACCTCCTTCTCTCTAGTTCCCTAGTCTCCTCCTCCCATGCCCGCCTCCAGAATTTCTCCAGGGCGTCACCCATACTCTGGAACTCCCTACCCCAATCCATCACACTATCATCTTCTCTCCTCTCATTTAGGCGCACCATCAAAACCCACCTCTTCAGGGAAGCCTACCCCACCCCCTGCTAATTGCCGATCTCCTCCACTCTTCCAACCACTCCATCCCCCACAGCTATCTCCTCCTGTACCACTATCCCCTCCCTCCTAGATTGTAAGCTCGAAAGAGTAGAGCCCTCGAACCCCTCGTGTATCACATTGTATTGTTATTTAACTGTTGCATGTTCTTTCTCCCTTTGTAATGTACAGCGCTGAGTGAACTATTGGTGCTTTACAAATACTGTATAATAATAATAATCACTAAATCTTATCTTTAGTTGATCTGATACTGATATGCAGATATCTGGCTGGAGTGCTGAGGCACAGGAAGCTTACTATTTTTCAAGAGGAATTCAAGACAAAAGGTACATTTTTTCAGGGTGTTGCTTAAACAGTTTTCATCTATAGATGTTTCTAATAAGGTAGCAACTTTTCCCTTTTTGAGTTCAGGTCTGCTTTAATTGCCTTATGGCTGAATAATTTACAGCTCCTCCCCAGCCTCTTGGCTGCCACACATTGCTCCCTCCCCCACCCACCTCTAACTAATTGCTGGTATTAGAAGTAAAAAACAAAACCTAGATGTCTTTTTTTACTTAAATCAATGGTCATGTGACACACTAGTTCCAAGCCTTCGCTCTTCTTCTGTGTATGGGAGATGTGGCCCTTCTTCAGGTGTCCACATTACTGCCTGAATGTTGTAGACATTTCCTATTGGCTGTCCTGGGGCAGGGTCCTCCCAGGATCCAAAAGAGAAATCTCAGAAGTGACATCCCCATGAAGGGGACCATTGGGGAAAAGCTAATGTGGGCAAATCTGCAGCACTAGCTTACTGGTCCCCCGCACCTGAACATGGTGCCCACGTGGGATACAGACATTGGATTTAGGCTACCAAACCTTTCCCTTCAGGGCTATTAAAAAAAAACCAAAAAAAAAAAAACACACAAAAGAGGTGGTAGAGGGTATCAGGTTTTACCCAGAATGTGGCTTTAAATAGTTGAAACTCCTGAATTCTGAAATACCTATACAATCTATATATATATATATATATATATATATATATACACACACACATCTGATGGATTGCGCCTGCCAACCCTATAATGGAAAAAAAGAATGAATGCCATCTTATAACAAACTTTGAACTGCTGCCATCTAGGTGACAGGACGTCAATGTCTGTGCAACTTAAAGATACAATTACACTGATACAGTGGCACATCTATTGCAGCTATATGATGAATGCATCTTGCAAAAGAAATTGTGTGGCTCCGAACATTCCTTAGTCCATATTATCATTGTGGAAGGCTATTACTCACAATGCTGGTGAAGATCATTATTGATGACGGCATAATAGTTTTTTCACCATTAGGGATTGAAAAGGTCCTGGATTACAGATTATATTCTATTACATTATAGCAGGGTCCCATCAGTGAACCATATTTTTCTGCACTTTAATGATTTTAATATTTAAAATACTGTTACATACATGCACTGCTTTTAATGACTTGGGTTTGCCATAATCACAGTTATGTTGGCATTTTTTATGTATTTTATTCCACTATATACCATAGTTTGCAGACGCTTGAACTTTCACACAAACCAATTATTATACACTTATATGGATTTTTGTTTTCAAATCCATGTAGCAGAATACATTTTGGCTTAAATGTATGAAAAAATGTGATTTAATAATTTTTTTAATGGATATGTTTTATAGCAGAAAGTTACAATTTTTTTTGTTTATATAATAAAAAATAAAAGCCACAGGGGTCATCAAGTACCACCAAAAGAAAGCTCTATTTGTGTGAAAAAAAGGATATAAATATAATTTGGGTACAGCGTTGCATGACCGCACAATTGCCAGTTAATGTAGCACAGTGCCAAATAGCAAAAAATGGCCTGGTCATGAAGAAGGTAAAACCTTCAAGAGGATAAAAAAACTTATTAGTGCAATTGGGAGAATTCAAAATCAAACACACGAAGCACACAAAATCCTTTAATGTTCACCTTGTCCACATGGGTAACATTTCAAAGCTCTCCTTTTTTTAGGGTGTTTTAAGAGTAGAAATGTTTGTCAGATATGGCTTCTGTATAGGAGGACACTCTAACACTGCAAATCTTTCTTCTAAAATACGTCTGTTCTTTTACCATCGGTTTTGCTTTTTTATACAGCACAACCCTCCTATTTTGTACTGGATGAATTTACAGTTCAGTCTGTTATTCTGTAGCTCTTGGAGATGAAAATGTTTAGTTTCATGAGTGTCCGTTAAAATCCCTTTCTTCCTGCTTCTGTTTTTTTAAATATACAACAATAAAAGGCACAGTGGTGACATGATAATGGGCTCCCCATATATTGGTGTGCAATGCAAATTGTGTATAAAGCTTTCAAGAATTAAGGATGAACTAGAGGAAAACACAAATTTTTATTTGCAATATATCAATTTATCTAGCTAAATAAAAATGATATTTCCTCAAGCAATTTTCTCTCTATAACAGAGCCTAAAGCCCCTTGTTGCACCAAAACAGCACTATACCTACTACAAACACCCAGGTATCCAAGCTGATCAAGATGGCACACTTTGGCACTCATGGTAAGCAAAAACCTACTGTACATTAAAAGGCTCTTGAGCATCAGCTAAAATTATGCTAACTCCCAAGACCAACGTAGACTTACCATAACACCTCACAGACTCCAACATCTCCAAAAAAGCTTCACTATCAGGCTACAGAGAGCCCTCCAGCCATTGTGGAAGGCACTGCTCCAACTGCTACAGGGCTATGAGCTTCAAGTGGGGTGGCCCTGCTTCTCTAGCTGCCCACCTGTGGTAC